GGGGGAGGGGAGATTTTGAAGCTTGTGAAGTCCACATTGATACCATTGGGCTGCAGGATTCCCAAGCGAAATACGAGATGCTGTTCCTGCAGCTTTCGGGTGGCATCATTGTGGCAATGCAGGAGGCCCAGGATGGACATGTCGTCCAAGGAGTGGGAGGGGGAGTTGAAATGGTTCGCGACTGGGAGGTGCAGTTGTTTGTTGCGAACTGAGCGTAGGTGTTCTGCAAATCGGTCCCCAAGCCTCCGCTTGGTTTCCCCGATGTAGAGGAGGCCACAACGGGAACAGCGGATACGGTATACCACATTAGCAGATGTGCAGGTGAACATCTGTTTGATGTGGAAGGTCTTCTTAGGGCCTGGGATGGGGGTGTAGGGGCAGGTGTAGCACTTCCCTGCGATTGCAGGGAAAAGTGCCGGGGGTGGTGGGGCTAAAGGGGAGTGTGGAGCGGACAAGGGAGTCACGGAGAGAGTGGTCCCTCCGGAAAGCAGATAAGGGTGGGGAGGGAAAGATGTCTTTGGTGGTGGGGTCGGATTGCAGATGGCGGAAGTGTCGGAGGATGATGCGTTGGATCCGGAGGTTGGTGGGGTGGTACGTGAGGATGAGGGGGATTCTGTTTTGGTTGTTATTGCGGGTAGGATGTGTGAGGGATGAGTTGCGGGAAATGCGAGAGACACGGTCGAGGGTGTTTTCGATCACTGTGGAGGGGAAGTTGCGGTCCTTGAAAAACGAGGACATCTGGGATGTCCGCAAGTGGAATGCCTCATCTCGGGAGCAGATGTGGCGGAGGCGAAGGAATTGGGAATAGGGGATGGCCTTTTTGCAAGAAGGTGGGTGGGAGGAAGTATATTCAAGGTTTCACTGAGTTTGGTTGAAATAGTCTTTACCACTAGGCCATCACAAACTCACCACAGGGAACAATCCCCCTAGAATGAAATACAACAATGGCACTGGATATGTTTATACAATGCTGTAACAAGTCAGACTGGCCCCCTAAATTACACCATTGTGTCAGTTTTACACCAGGAAAGCAGATGCAAGGGAATGCAATTTCTCTCCTACAGGAAGAGGGAAGTTCACCTTGGCTATAAAAAACAATGGGCTTGGCTTTTCCAATGAACAGCTGGAGGAAGTTGTGATTCACTCTCTTCTTAGGGGAAGAGCACAAGAACCAAAGTATGAGCACAAGCAGACCATATGGTTCACTGAACCTACTCTATTGTACAATTATGATGATCAACCTTAACTTCAATTTTTTGCCACTTTCTATATTCGATTCCCTGAAACTGAGAAACTGTCCCTGTCAGCCTCAAATATATTCAACAATAGTGCATCCACAACCACCTGGGTTACAGGTTTCAAAATATATCTGAGTGAAGGAATTCCTCATTTCATTTCTAAACAAGTGACTGCTTATCCAAAGATCATGTCCATGTATTCTAGATTTCCCAGCTAGGGGAAGAAAGCCTCTTGGTGTCCATGTTGTCAAGCCCCTTCAAATGCTTGCATGCTTCAATGAGATTGCCTCTCATTCTTCTAAACTTGAGAATATGGGCTGAATTAACTCAGCCTATCATACAACAGACCTCTCATTCCAGATACCAACCCAGTGTACTTTCATTTACTGCCTCCAAAGAAATGTACCATCTTTAATTATGGAAACAAATCTGCACACAGTACTCCAGGTAATGGTCTCACTAAAGCCCTGTACGATAGTAGTATGACTCACCTTATTCTTATACTCTGTTAGAGCAGAGACTTGCTGTAGCTGCATGCCAACAGTATGTTCTGAAGAAGGGTCACTGCACTTGAAACATTAACTGTTTTCTCTGCACAGATGCTGCCAGACCTCGAGTTTCTCTGGCAATTTCTGCTTGTTTCAGACTTCCAAAATCCGCAGTTCTTTATTTCATGTTATGCTAACATTGTGATCCTTATATGACTAAGCCAGAACACTCTGAACATCAGTATTTACAAGTTTCATGCCTTTCAAAACATATTCTATTTTTCTATCCTTATGACCAAAACGAATAGCCTCACATTTCCTCACATAATACTCCATCTGCCACCTTTTCCCCAACTTAGTCTATGCTTATCTCTGTATCCTGCACATAGCTTATATTCTGACTCGCTTTGTGCTGTCAGCAAACTTCAATACATTACTCCTGTTTTCCTCAAAGACCATAATATCAAATATAAATAGCTGAGGGCCTAGGGCCAATTCTTGCAGCAGTGCACCTGCCGACATGAAAACGCACCATTTATTCCTATTCCACGCTCTGTTTATTGACCAACATTCAACTTGTGTTAATATATTTTCACAACTCTCATCTTATTTATGAGCATTTTGTCTGGCGCCTTATCAAATGATATATAAAAATAAGTAAGAAACAGAAGGCGACAAGATGGTGGAGACAACAGAAAGCAAACGACTGCAGAGGTTGGAAATGTGAAGTAGAAAAGGCACAGAACAATCAGCAAGTCAGGCAAAGTCAACTGAGAGAGCATTTGGACATCATCAGCTCTTCAGAACAATGTGGGTGTGGACTCAAAGAGTAAACAAATGCTAAAGATGATCTCAGTCACTTAAAAGAACCATGAAACCCAAAGGCAACATAATAACAGAGAATTACTTACAAAAATCTTGCAACATAAAAGGCAATGTGACAGGGTTCCTGCTTTGGTCAGAAATTAGGAAATTACTTGAAACTGTGCTGGTTAGGTTATTTTAATGTTCAAATCATTTGCACAATTACTAATGTAAAATCTTGCACAAACAAACACAAGAAGTTGGCTTTATAAAAGACAATTATTTATTTTTGTGTTTCTGCTAAGAAGTATTCCTTGATATATTTGGGAGTGTTAATGTGGTATAGCACTAACAGATGAAAATGGATTTATTAGCAAAATTAAACACTTTAATAAGTCTGCCAGTCACCTGCCTATGAGTAATCACTGAGGATTATCTTAAAAAATAGCAAGATTGAACTATTTGTTGTCTCATTGGTATATACCAAAAAATCTGTTGGTATAGTTTATAAGAAAAGACTCCAGAAACACTTATGCACCAAAGAAAATTAACTCTGTGCAAGGAGCTATCAGAACTTTGCAAGTTCAACCTGGAGGCACATTCTGTGGACTTATAATGTTAAGAGCAAATTGAATCTTGAACCGACATAAACACTATGGAAACTCAAGTTTAGAGTATCTTTCACTTGCATTGGGAAGTCACCAATCTTTCATACTGCTTTAGTCAATTCCACCCTT